CCGACATGTAAAGACTGGAAGCGCGTCCGAACAGCATCGAGGATCTGCCGTCCTCGGTGCCTTCGGACGGGTCTGTTTCATCGTCGGACGGCGTCAGTCGGACTTGCAGTTCGAGCTTCGGCGTCGACTGAAGTAGCCTCCGACGAGGCGACTGTTCCGGAGTCCGGCAGACTGCGCCACTCTGGCCAGACCTGCTCGACGTCCAACTGGGACCGGTACCAATTTGAAGATGGTCAGCCGCGGCGAACGCCCGAGCAAACGGAGGAGGGGGCGACAGGAGGTGACGGGAGGCGAGTCGCGGAGCAAAGTCCATCTTGGCGGACAACGAGTCCTGGCGGCTGTGTCGACCGGTTCGGAGGGGATTGGCCGAGGCCAGGGGTCGTCGACGAGGCGAAAGGTCCAACGAGGCCAGGTACATCCGGTGGAGGGGTGAGGTGGCCTCGTCGACAGCACACGAAGTGGAGAAGGGCAGAAGCGACTGACGCAGCATCGGCTTCCGAGGCGGCGACACCAAACAGGGCGTACATGGCGACGGAGGCGGTGGCGGTGGCGGTGGCGACGGGGCCAGAAGTGGCCGCGGCCGGGGTCGAGCTCGGGGCTGGCGCAGGTGAAAAAGAACCAACCGGCGAGCAGGTGACACAGCAGTCGGGTGGGGCGACGGCCGTCCGGCAGAAGAGCTGGGTGAGCCAACCGGTGTTTGTGTGCGCATGTTCGTGTGCGGGCTGCCGAAAAGCCTACCCGTCAAAGGCGACCAACCAGAATGCCAGACGAGGCGTCTGCAGACCGCCGACTCGGGACTCTGCCCGGCCCGAGACGCCGGTACCATTCGGCAAGAGGAGCGCCGGAGGCCGCGAGAGACGCGATTCTTCCGAGCCGACGTCGAGGTGGAGGATGGAGCTGTTGCTGTGCTTGTCGCCGAGGCGATGCACTCGGCGACCGAGTGATCTCGCAGCTTCCACACGCCAGATCCGAGGCCACCGTCGGCCGCCCGACCGCGGAACTCGGAGCAAGAGGCGCGTCGAATTCGACCACAACGACCCCACGCCTGCAAGATGCCCTGGCAACGGGTGACAACTGGTCGGCATGGCGACTGTCTTTTGACGGCATCACTCGGCGTCGACTCTGCGGACGGCGTGTTCTCGCGCAACGGCTTGACCGGCTCAGCTGGCGACTTGGCTTTGGGCGCCTGGAGAGAGTCATGCGTGACGCGCGATTGGGCGAATAGTTGCTCGGCGACGGGGTCTACAGGCGCCGGATTGGAGATTGGAGTGGGAAAAGAGAGTCGCGGGTCGGAAAGCGATTTTCTCGGCGTTTTTGGAAGGCGTGGAGCCGCCAGTTCAGGCGGATCCGAGCGACAAGGAAGATGACCCGGCAGCGATGTCTGCGAGGCATAGATACCGAGATGGGAGGAGTTTGTCTGTCGGCATGCCGACGAAATGAGCTCGAGCGAATGATAGAACGTGGGTACATAGTCCTCACGACAGTCCAACAGTTGCCAGTTCCAGCGAAGGCTTGAACTGCTGCAAGTGCTGCTGTTGCTGTTGCTGTGACTGGTGCAATCTTGCAATCCGATGTTGAGATGCTCTTCGGCCGGACAGTCGGTCTGAATGGTTGGCCGTTGACCGTCGATTTGGTTCTCCCAATCCTCGAGATCGTAGGCGGTTTCGCCGAGTCCAATGATCGGTTTATTCTCATTCACGTCGAACTGAAAATGACGTCGAAAGCGTTCGGCCGATTGGTGACACGCCTCAATCGCCTCCTTTGCGCAGGTTTGGGTCAAGATGATGCGTCGTTGAGGCGAGCTGAGCGGGTTGGCGAATTGGTTATTCTCGAGTCTGTCAAAAAGTCGTCTTGCCGGAGGTCTGGAGGTCATGTTGCGCGTGACAGCGCTTGTCGGCACGAGGGGATTGTCGCAGCTCGACATGCAGAAGCGGTTTTATCGGCCGAACACTGAAAGGATACGCATGATCGCGTTTGATTGGTAAAGTGCGCATTATGATCACTCACCTCTGCTCCAATCACCTTAAAGGACCCATTTTCTCCGGTCTGATTGGTTAGAATGTGATTGGCAGAGGTCTCACCTCAGTCAGGTCGACTGGGGAAGTCTGGCATCCGATTGGTTGACAGACCTCGCTCAGGTCACCTGGTCTCGAGAGACCTGCACTCGACAGGTTTACGCTCAATTCTCTATTGGTTAATTTATTGCCGATCCCTTGTTGGATCAAGTTGTACCCGTTCAACTACAACATTGTCCGGAGGGTGGCAACCACAAGCGTACCAATGGCACGTTGCAGGTTAGCGTTGTCGTCCTTCTCTTGGCCTCTGGCATGGCTAGCCTTACAATTAAGGTCCGACATAAAATTACAATTCTGATAGGAATAGATACCAAAGTGTTGTTGCCTCTATTTTGGTTGTTTTCCCAGCTTGATCGCCTTGTCAAGCGGACCAATTTAGCCTTAACTTGCCCGAAGCCAAGAGATAATTTCATTCGATTTCGTTTAAAGTCATCAAGGGCGGATTGTCGTGGGATTTTCCCGCTCAAAATTCCGCTAGATTTCACATAGTCTTATGAAATGTATTCTCACTTTTTCGTCTAACGTGTGAAAGACTGGTTAGTAGAATTTGTCCACAATGATATGAGTAGAGCTGACGTTTCCATTCGATTTCACACAGCCATGCTTGCCCAAAAGTTGTTCTCATCCGGGCACAAGTGGACTTCAACACCCCCGGCGGGAGTCGAACCGTGACAGTGCAACATTGCCACGAGTGCCCTTGAGTCACAGGGCAGATGTCCATTCCAGGGAAAGTCAGACCTTTTCCCATGTCACATTCTCTGGTGAGATTGTCGATGAAGCAAACGTATTTTTGATATGACAATCGACTACATTACCATATTTCGTTTAAGATTAT